TACGATCACCTAACAATTGTGCAGTTACACTTCAGCTTTATGAGGTGAAGCTGGGATTGGGACGAAGTCCGATGTCGTAAGACGCGCTCGGGATAATCCCTTGTCCTTTGTTCGCCTTCCTAACTCATGTTTCCTTCGTCGGCATTTCATCAGCTTGTTATTTTTAGCAGCTATTTTTGTTCCACTTACCCCCTCATTCTGCTTCGCGAATATTCTTACCCTCTCCTCTTGTAGAACATTCACGAAAGGTGCATGTGCTTCAATCACCATGTCCGCAAGCTATTTTTGTCGTGCAAAAAGCATTCGCGCACACACATAGCGATAAATACAATTCGTCGCTGAATTGTTTCCTTTTATGGTTGTTCCAAAAATGGAAGACTTATTGAGAAGTTCCAAAACCCCCTTTGGGAAGTTTGTCTTTGAGGCAACACAATGTAAATGTTTTTGTTGTCGGTGAGATTGTTTGACAAGGAAGTAATGGGCCTAGGAGTTCCGTCATGTTATTTGATTTGGTAAAAAATCCCACCATAAAAATCTGCGCCTTTGTCTGAGTAATGTAAATGACCATCGCCTCACTTCTTTCTCGCGCTTTTCAATCTGATTTCGAAATTTTCTTAACAGCAATTTGAGATTTTGCGATTTTTTGCTTTTTGTCCATATCAATTTCTTGTAATTTTAAGTCACCAGCAAGAACAGTTCGATACAAGTGGATGTTATTGATTTTATCGATTTTCTAAAACTGTAAACTCGTCGAAATGCTTTGAAAAAAAATTTTATTGTTTTTTTTCCAATTTAAAGCTCTAGTCAAACGTGAATATAGCGCATATATCGCTGGTGGAAGTGACAGTTGGCGCTACTGTTCTGAATGTACTGCGCGAGTCGCGATGAAAACTAGAAATAATTGCTCGCTATTATCACTATTGTATCTACTGGCAAATTTTGGCACTTCCCTTCGCTTCAATGAGTACACGGATTCCCAATTTCATATCTTAGCGCGATTGTTCTCAAACTGCTGCGCGAGTCGCGTAAAAGCCAAAAAAATTTGTCGTTGCGTGTCCTATCTACTGATGACAGTTCCAGTTTGTTCCTCTCTCCCTCTCCCTCCACCCTCATACATGACAGATACGCAAATTTCCAGGTGTTTCGTGTCCAATCCTCAACTCACGTGCTCGAACTCCAGCGAATCATTCAGATCGAGTGCGCTTGTCCTGTGCGTCAAAGGTGTCTATTTTTGACCTGAGGCCGTGAAAAAAAAAAGAACGCGCTCGAGCGGGCACACAGAGCCCGAAACACACACGCGTGTCGAGGGGCTAAATTCGTGCTGGACACGGGCTATTCTTGTCCATTGTCGCCCCTGGAGCGGCGTGACTTAGCCGTTCCAAACCTCGAAATAGAAACTAACCACACGCGCGAGCGCGCGGGCTCGTGCGCAAATACCATCCACCACCACCCGGGCCCCGCGCGCGCCCCCGACCACTACGACCATCAGCAGCAGTAGTGCACTGGACCCGCGGCTCCTACCTCTAAACGGTTATTTGTAGAACTTATTCGCTACAGCCTTTCTCCAAGTGTACGAGTTGTTCCGCAAGTGGAGGAGTTCCTCCTTCCATGCCCTTAACTTGTCTGTGCTCTTGATCCACGCAGTACAGCCTTATTGGCAAGATCGGGACATATGAACTCGACCCGGAACGTCTATACTTTTCGAGAACTTCGCCGAACTCGCCGCACCCTGACATTGCACTTACCGTATAAGGCAGTCGCTGACGCTGGACTGGGCCCAAAGAGTTTATTCTATCCTCTCCCTTGCTTAGTCTGATCTCAGGTTAAGAAAGCTTAGAACTCTTCTGTTCTTTGGCAGTTGTCGACCACTGTACTCATTGTTTATTGGTTTGTGCCCACACCCGACATTCATTCACACATACGACTAGACATCCATGCACTATAAGCACGTCAGATCATCATTTGATCCTTGTGGTATCTCGTCAGAGTCATTTTTTACTGATTGTTCTTTCATTATGAAATTTTGTGTGGATTTTGTGTTTTCTTTTTAGTTCCTTTCAGATGTCCAAAACTTCATTTACATCTCGTATTACGTTTACATGTACTCAAAGTGCATAGCCTTTTTCGTGAAGTCCCTGGTTCAATTACCCAAGACCAGCAATTTTCGCTAGAATTTTTTGTGCGAAAACTTTCACAAAAATTAATTTCTCTTTTTCTAACTACTAATCTACTGGCATTTGTGCGCTTTCTTGATTGAGTTTTGAAATTCCATCGAAGCCAGATTTATGCAGTTACCCATTTGGGTATGGTTACCCAATAACTTACAGTTGGCTTACTCACTGACATACTTGCACAGCTTACTACAAATTATCGAACCCGGTCCACCAAAGTCAATTTTAGCCATGATTCACCATCTTCGTCTCGTTCTATTTTTGTACTTCTTGCGCAAGTGTTCAGTTACCCAACTTCCCTAGGGTACTAGATTTTTGATCTACATTTTTCGTACAGTGGAGTTTGCCCGCCAAGCCTTCCCATTCTACAAAAATTTCATTACTTGGATAAACAACATGTTGATTCTTGTCATTCTTGTCCTTTAGTTAATTACCCTAGTAGCTATCCCGCTTACCCAGAAACCTCCCTTATGTGCTCATCGACATATCAGAGCTTTTGAGCTCTGATGTCTTCACATTGCACAATCAACACCTCCTATCTGCTCTCTGCTCTTGCGCTTCTACTGCTGCTACTGCTGTGCTCGTGCTGTTTTTGTTTACTATTTACCATCTAGGGGTGGTGTCTCGTCGTCTCGTGAACAGAGAGTGGAAATGCCATGGTCACGCTTACGTCTCGGTCTAGTATAGTTGTTATTATTGTTATTGGTCTTGCTGGTTTTAATTAGAAGTAACCATTCTGCACAAAGCCATTGTTGATTGGCATCGGGGCATATTTTTTGAGTTGGAGCGCGCTATCTCATGGGTGCTTTAGAAAAATGGTACGCGCTATCCTTGAGCTAGTCCGCTTTTGGAAGGCGTGGTAATTTGCACGGTATTTGGTATGGATTGTGATTGGAGCAAATATTCTTGAGTTGGAGCGCGTTATCTTATGGGTGCAATATTATAGAGAACGCTTATCTCTGATGTAGTTTGTGTCTAAAAGGTTTGCAAATTTGCATATATTCGATATGCGCAGAGGTGTGAATGCCTGGACGGATTGGTCTCATCGGAGCCGGCTCCGAGTCCAAAACGCCGCGCCACTTGCCCACTTTTACATGTAGTGTATGTGAGTGTGGTGGGGTGTGAGTGCGTCATACACACGTATTTCACCCCTATCGCTCTCCGCTTCCATGCGAGACGTGCACACTATTCTCGCCGAATCGTCGCTTCCACATCTGCCGCTCTCCACGATTCATCGCATCGTTGACCAATCAATCCCCCGTCGCGCGATCGCCAACACCGCTTTCAATGGTCCACCACCACTACCCGGCGCTCGCGCTCTCTCCGTCCATCCCGACCAATGTGCATCGTGCCCCGCTCACAGCTGATTCCCCCCGTTCACCCCCCCCCCCCCCCCGTGTCCGCTCGGTCTCTCTATGACTGACCACCACCTCCTGGCTGTGTCCATCCGACCAGCCCGTTCGCGTTCCTCCTCCTCCTGCTGCTGCAGAGTGTTCGACCCAGCCCTGGGCAGCCAACGAGCTCTCGCATCAATTTATTGAGTCACATGGGCTGCTGTGGGCTGGCCACTATGGCTTTACCATAATAGGCACAATGGATGATTACAGATGTACTAAATCTCACTATACTATGAAGATCTTATTCCATTTGCTACAATCATTTACCAGCAAAATTAAATTGAAAGGTTGTAGATTTTCCATCCACTCTCAACATTTTTCTTCATTTTTAAAACGTTGGTTCCTCTTTTTCCCTCCTCTCTAACCCATGAAGTGACTACATGAAATTACCCGGTACTTTCTTTGTTCATGATTTGTACTGAAATCCATATTTAATTATTTATTTGTATATTTACTCATTTATTTATCTATTTATTTATTTAGTTTATACTCTCTAAATGCACCAAGTAGAGACAATGAACAAATGTTGAATTAGGTACTAATAATTTTCACAACTCAGGAAAGCTTTGGGTCAATAGATTTTTTTCAGTTACCTAGATTAAAATAGAATATCTTACAATCCTGCAAAACTCGAATTTCATCTATGATCTTTGTAAAGCAAATTTACTCACCGTACCTTCATTATACTCTTGTATGGCAAATAACCTTTATCCATGATGACCTTTACTGGCAATGAAATATCCCATAATTCTATGAATTTTGTAAAATTTACCCTTTGGTGCAAGCTGCAAGATTTGCAAACGCACTGCTGAGTAATCGTGTATTCTTTTTCTTTGCAATCTCTTTCACTTCCTTTGGCGTTTGTTCTTCTGAGGAAATTTAGGAAATTTTCTTAGTTGTTATTCGTTGCTAAGTGCTTCTGCAACAACATTGGGAAATTTCCACATTTCCTGGCATTTATTCAAAAGTTACTTCCTTATACGCATTACCAGTAACTATGACCTCAGCGTCAATTTCACGCAAATCGCCATCAATCGTATGCGGAACCTACCAGCTCCGTTTGCCATACGCATGCTCGACCTCATTGAAACGGGAAATTCTTGGTTACTTCCGCGACATAGATTTATCTAGCCTTGAATTTACTCATTAAAGCGGGAATTTCTTCGCTACTTCTGCGACAACTCATACTGTATTATATCAGTCGGCTGAAATGGACTTGGTGAAACGGAAATTCTTTGTTGTCCCACGGAAAGTCGCACTTTGTTTCATTAACCTTGAATAGACACATTGAAACGAGAATCTTCGTTATTTCCGCGAAAACTTCAGCTTCTTTCAACAGTGACCAGATGCTTTTATGAAGCGGGAATTTCTTCGTTACTTTCGTGTAAAATCTCGATATTGTTATCAATGACCTAAAATGGGCATTTTTCAGGTTCGAGTTCGTCGTCGGGTTGCAGTTCGTCGGCCACTTGTGAGCTGTACGATCTTGCCACAGCACACGCACTTCTTGCCCGACAACAACAGTTGATACAACAAGGTTAGCCCCCTGTCCGTGTCCTCTCCCCCGTTCTATGTTTGATGATCCAATTTTTATCGATTTTTTACTGCAAACATAACCAGTGTATATTTTGGCTCGATTTTCAGCAAATTTCCCCATCATATCGTCGGCGGAGCTTGTACAACAGCTAGCTCATCATCAGCAACTGCAACAGTTGCACAATCATTTACAAGGAATTGTACACCATAATCTAGTAGGTGAGTGGGCGCAAAATTTATTTTTATTCTTCCCTTTCACCCGCCCACGAAAATCCGAAATTTTTGTGCAGTCTGCATGTTATTTTTGACATCGCGCTTTTCATACCCATTTATGGTCTGAATTCAACCAGCAAGAGAGCATTAGACTCTCCGTGTACTTTTGGGACAACATTCAGCACCGACGCTATAATCTCATTGTCAAAATTGTGCTGGCCCTGCAGCGTGCTTTTTATCGTCTCGATTTTTATTGACTAATTTTGCAAGACTTCCTTGCTCGAAAAGTAGTGAGTTTCTCTCATGTCAATAAATTTCATATTTTCAACATGCAAAAAATCATCGAATCAGAATCCCAAGAAAAATTAGGAAAATACTAGCATATCTCAATCATGATTGATTATTTGTAGTTAAAAAGCAGACGATTAGCATTTCATTAGTTAAACTACAATCTGCGCAAAACTTAATAACCCTTTTTTATAAGTTAATTCTAGAATTCTTTCTTCCGCATCCTGATGCCTTTACTTCCCTTTGATCTAAGAAAAAGAATTTTTCGGGAACACTCTCAGATATGCCACCGCAGTGTTAAACAATCGATAATCGATTTTTTCCATTCAAAAATTCGAAATGACTCACTTTCCATATCATTAGCAGTGGAGTCGCATTAGATGAGCAAACACACGCATCCTTGACTGCATAACATATAATTTGACCCTAAAAGGCATTCACTGACCTGAGACCCGCCAGTCACTAGTCCATCGTTGCGATAATTATCGATTGTGATCGATCTGCTGGTTACTCAATATTTTCAAAATTATCAAGAAACTATTTTTTGCCGTTCCGTAGTAATTTAGGTAAGTATCGATCTTTTCTGAGCAATATATTCAGCTTCTTTCGTTTTTACCTGATTCCTGTACTTCCAGTCGTTAATTTGATCATGCGTAATTTATTTTTACAGAAGGTTACTAAATGCTGGATTAAGAAAAAAGTGAAGTAGATTATTACAAGTTAAATCGCGCTTTTCTGCGGTCTTTTGTTTTTTACTAATTTTTGCTGTTTCACGCTCAGATCAAGTAGACGATCTCGGCCATCGAGTTGGTAATTAGATCGGAGCATTCAAAATACCACAAACTGTCTAGAAGGAAGTAAAGGTTGCACAAAGAAGACCTTACCTTTATATAATATTTCTCTTCTTTTACCACAGTATCCCAACAATACTCCATACTTTTTCCAAAGTGAATTATGTGTAATTTGCGCATTGGCAACATGACACAAACGATTTTTACCCCCTGCCATCCTCTCGAACAACTCTGTTATTCCAAGTTATACTTCTGTTTCAGGCGACATGGCACTCGTGTCGCATCCGGCGACTGCGGCGGCAGTTGGCGCCGCGCCAATGTACGCCGGTAGCGTCGGCGTACAAAAAGAGAAGAAACCGCAACCGACACCTCATCAAGTGATGCAAATGCAACAACAGCAATTACCACAGGTTCGTCGAGAATGTAACGGCATCGGTAGCTTTTCTGCTGGTTTATACTCTGGTTGAAGCAGGAAATTTATGTTGAATTCATCAGAAAAAATTATCATATTTCTTGATGGTTTTTATCTTTACGGAAATACCTGCTGATCACGATATCCATTAGAAAAAGATTTTTGTATTTTCGCGTTTTTTTAATTCTCTAATTTCTTACGTATCTGAAATTTCTGAGTATAACACTATATTTTGTTTCTGCTTCTGCAAATGTATTCGTTCAACAATTTTTTATGTTTCATAACTGATTCGAAACGGAAAATTCAATCAGGACGAACTATTCGTATTTTTCCGTTTGCAAATTTTCATCTCAAAAATACAGGGTGTCCGTAAAGTATGTATACACTGTTTGATCATAAATATCTTTCTTCCCAAGAAGTCTTTTGCCTTGCTTCAGGTGCCGTTTTGTAGAGCTGGCTTCAACTTAGATTTGCAGTATAGAACGAACCCTTCTATCTTCGTTACTGTAGGATTACGGTAGAAACTTCAAAAAGGGTTTTGAGCCATGAAAGGCCATATTTTGCCTCACAAAGGAAACAAAACAGCCTGAAAGCTTTTACACTAGGCTAATTAGAGTTGTTGATTCTAACCGTGAAGTTCCCAACTTATTATGATGCTTCATTGAAGAGTTATGCCGGGTAAGAGGTAACGGCCATTTTTTTCAATGTTTCTAAAAAGTGTGGTTACACCGTTTAGAAAGCTTCGCAATCTTGTGAGTAGTTGAGTATTGAACTCAGCGTCCGTCTCGGCAGCTTTTTCCACACTGACACTATATGTTTTAAGTTGCTACCGTAATCCTACAGTAATGAAGAACGATCTGTGATTCGCTCCATACTGTAAATTCAAGTTGAAGCCAGCTCTACAAAACGGTACTTGAGGCAAGGCAAAAGACTTGTTGGGAAGAAAGATATTAACGATCAAACAGTGTATACATACTTTACGGACACCCTGTGTTTATCAAATTTTTATCAAAGTAAGTGAAATTACATATTCATTTTTTGATGAAGCTTCCCAGCATTATTACGTTATGTTATGTTTTACTTACCTTTTTTCATATTTTATATAAGTAGCTCTCCTGAAAAGTCATCACAGATCTATTAATTTCTCCAAAGTTGTCATGATCTAATTTGCCTCATTCTTTTACTTTCGCGATTTCAAGCTGTAATACCTGCGTGAATATCTGTCAATTTTGAATTTTAATTCACCGTCAATTTTTCAAATTAATTAGCAGTTAGTGCTCAATGGAAATTATATGTGAGTATACTGCTTTCTTTCTATAACTTAATTAAGTCAAATGTCATTGTCAGCTCATTAATCTACAATACAAGTTCAATTGAAGCGCTGTACATAGCATCTAATTCGTTGTTACTTCTCGCTTGAGGGGGGGGGGGGAGGGGGATAACAATTGCTTCGTGTATGAGAAAGTAGATGTTGAGTAGATTGATATTAACTGTTTTGATTTTCATATTCAAAATTATGCTCGACCAATAGCGTGTGATTGCGTACATTCTTGTTTGAGCTGAATCAGGTTTGCTTTAGCAGCATCTGTCCTGGATGAAGTTGCAAATCAATAAAATGATTATAACGAAGTAAAAGGGATCAAATTGAAACTACCAAATCGATTCTCAAAAACTACGTCTAAAAAAAAACTCCGTGACGACAACCAATTTGGGATAGGACTTCTGAGATATAAATTAATTTGATTTCTAATTTTTACTGTTCATCGGCGCACCTTTGAGTGCATTGAAATAAATAAGTAAATAAATATAGAAGGAGACCTTACCCGGTTCCTAGTTAAATCCTCTACAGCGACCACCTATAGCGACTTCTCGTGAGAATTCTCTAGAAGCTGATCATTGGTCGCTTTCCCGAAGCTGTTTATGTACGTCGTACGGCATCAAAGAGCTTGTGTTTGTGGTTATTTGGTGGTCGGTCTCTGTCATATAGCGCATGCCGTCGATGCTGCCGCTTAGTTGCTGTGCAGTACTCTCGTTTTATAGGTTTCTTTACTTTACTTTTGGTTCCGGACAACTGGAACACATTTCAAACTCCTTGGTAGTTGAACTCTTCCATCTTCTCGTCTTGCGCAAGAACATCAGATAATTGCATCGCTCCAAAACGCATAAAATAAAAAGCTAAACCAGTTCTGTTTCCAATCAGACATCGCAAAAATTCCCTCCCTCCCCCTCCCCCCCCCCCCCCCCGCATTTTCGTGCCAACGTGGAATCGCCTGATGTGGCGCGATCTTAAACCTCTCTTCTTCGATGCCAACAATTGACTTATCGCCCAGTTTCTGCTGATTTTGTGACGCGATAATATACAGCTGATGCCAGTCACATGTGCAAATGATCGTCACTCTTTCCCCCCCCCCCTCCTCCTTCCCGACTTCGTCTGTCTTCCACATTTTTCGCGTGATTTGAGTCTCTAGTAATAACACCTTTGAATTTACGTAAAGTTCAGTGATAAGCGATGTTTTGATGTTCTGGACTGAACGAACTGGTTCCGCTTTTCGCGTTTTGCTGTCGGATGTCAGCGACACAAGTTATGGTGTTTGCTATTTGTCATAAACTGGTACAACTGGCTTTTCTTAGGGATCTTTTAGTTCCTTCGAGGGAGTTCTTTTCATGGGGATTTTTCTTTTTCTAAGGTTTTTATTAATTTCCTTCCCATCACCCTTTGTTTCGACAAATAATGATCCAAATTTTTTTCTTGAAAAATTTATTCAATTTGACCTCTAAACCGTTGAGAACTGATCACTGCGAACATTCTGGCAAATCAAAACCCGCTTTAGATTTTGGACCTCAATTCTTCCTTCTCCTTCATTTCCCTTCGGTCCAAAAACAATGTAGTGCTAACAGCAAGTATATCTATATTTATGGCGATCATCATCACGGTAATGTCTCAACATTGATAAAGTATGGTTATCGATCGATTGAAACTATCATGCATTGTTTACCAAAGATAAATGTGACTGAAATAATCTTTGAGCCCACCTCGCCAACACGGTGTTGCCAATTCAGCCCTACTTAGACAGTTTTCATATTTTCTTGGAAAAAATTGGATTTGTGCACCTGCACAACTTTCCGACGAGTGTATTTTTTTCACTTATGTGGGGAAGGGAATCCAATAAATCTCCATTTTTTGGAGTAGTCAGGAAGGAATAAAAACCATATTTGCTTATCAAATCTAAACGCAGAGATGGTTCCGATAACAAATAGTCGAAAGTTTTACAGCAGTTTTTTTGAAAAAGCATCTCTGATTTTTCGCTTGATTATGGCGTTGCTGAACCCTGTAAAAAATAAATCTTGAATTTTCGTATGCTTTAACTTGATGCCCTTTCCTGTACTTTTGCACGAAAGAGACGATAGCAACATTTGCAAAAGTTTGGATGAACATCATTTTCTAGAGTTAGAAACGGGAAAAAATATCCCATATGTATTTTGGTTGTTGGAGGAAACTTGTTCATGAGCGAGAGTTATTGAAGGTATTACAATGAAACTTTTTGCTTCATCATGGCGTGCTGCACATTGTAAGAAATATTTTTGGGTTCTATTCATTTACTCGACGCTCTTCTGTATCCTTTTGCAGCTCTGTCTGTGCAAGAGACCAGCAATTCCGCGAACTCCTTCGTCGGCGCCGGGGCTCATTTTTCATTTTCATGCGCGCCGCTCTTGCACCGAAGTGCAGTGCAACCATTGTCTTCATGATGAATGTTCATTGCTCGAACCGTTCGTCGTGTGTTCGTTCACATGCACTGCGCCATCACTTTCAGCTGTGCCCCCAACCCACAGACCCCTCTTGCACTCGTCGATTTTCTCGCTGCAAACAACCGCAGTTCGCTTCGCTGCCACAGTTCTCGTCCATATCTCGCCAAACTTCGATTTGCTGCCGATTTTTCTGCCTCGTCGAGCCGATTCCGGAACCTGAGAGATTCCGAAGAACAATTGATTGTTATCCATCGAGTTTTGCGCTGCTGGACAACGGCCAAGCCGACACACAACAGCCGCTGCACGTGGTGGCGTGATATCTCAGCCGAAAAAGCTTGCGATAAAAGAGCCAGCTAGCCCAACTTGATTCCTTCGTCTTCGGATCACTTTTGATGTTCTGGACGAGATGTCGCTGCTGTTGGCTTTGGTTGAAGGTTTCATTGAGTATCTGAAAAGGGTACTGGTGAGTTTAGGGACTAGCACTTGAATTTATTGAGTCTAAAAATTTTATTCCTTTGAAAGAAAATCTTATTTTGAAAAAATTATTGGTTAGACGATCACTTGCCCAATCCATTTTTGTCGTATTGCAGCTTCCACTGCTATTAAATAAAGCTAAATTGGACTTGATCATCTTCCATCTCCTTCGACTTGCTTACAACGGGTACCGTAAGCCACTGGTTACGGTAAGGCTCCCACCTTCCTGCGTAAACTATTAGGTTTCTTAGCATTTGCGGACACGAATACTGCCTTTGGAACCGGAAATTTCATTAAGGTTTTTTTGGTAAATTTTTCAAGACATTGGATCGTCGCAGTGTAATCTTCGTAAAAAATGACAGTCTATTTATATCATTACATCCGACATTTTGCGCAATCTCAGCAGATTTATCATACTTTTTTGTTAGTTTAATGTTGGAATTTGTGCGTTTCTCCTCAAATATTTGAGTTTAAATAGATTTTTTTGATCCCAGTAATTTTAAATTTTTTGAAGTTTTCTTGTTTTTCTCAAAAATTCCCGTTTTAGGCCGCACATGTCTCGAATGCCATCCTGGCAGCGACGCAGCCGTTCTATCCTGCTCCTGTGCAGGACGCGCAGCCGGACAGGCCTATCGGTTACGGAGCATTCGGTGTTGTCTGGTAAGTCTTTTCAGTTCTGTTTTTCCCTATTTCGTTTCCCAACCAGTGTATGGGGGGGGGGGGGCGTTTTCCCATCCTTTTCTGTGTAATCACATGACACCGTTAGAGGTGATCTGAGCTGAAGAACTTGCTTTGAAAACCGGCTAGATGGCTTATGCGCTGCGAAATCTGTTGTGATACACAGAAATACTGTAGAAACTGCTAAGGGGATCATGAACTAGCATTGATCAATATATCGATTGACTTTTTGTCTGTCACTCGAATCCAGTTGAGACAAGGATGCAGTACTTAGTGAATAAGAAGTTGAGCAAACATATCTTTTGCTCTTGATCGAACGATTACTGTTCTGGAATGCACACAATGTCATGATCAGTAAGTGAAAGTCAATCGATATATTGATTAGCGCAAACATTCCTTGAAGTGCAAAATTCTAAGTGTGCGCCTGTTCTTCACAACTTTATCACCCATAGGCGCTTTTACACATGATGTTCTTAATTGTATAGTATTACATAGTTCAAATGTACTCTAATTCTACCGTATACTACCGTAAATCTGCATATTTCAGGTCGGTGACGGATCCACGAAGTGGTAAACGAGTAGCGTTAAAGAAAATGCCAAACGTCTTTCAAAATTTGGCCTCTTGTAAACGGGTGTTTCGCGAAATTCGCATGCTTTCATCATTCAAGCACGATAATGTGAGTTAATTTTTCGAACTGCTTCCTTTAATTCTATTTTAAAATTATCTTGACAAATATCCGTACTTGTCCAATTTGTCTTGATTTTTTCCTTTCAGTTACATCAAAAAATGGATTGTCGACAACAGTATTTTTAATTTGTCGTTTTGATCCTGTCATTTTCAAAGTGGTTTTTATCTATTTAAGTAATTTATTGGATCAAGCTTTGTCTGGAACGCCCCTCTAACGCACTGAAAATGGGTCGATAATTTTTTTTCGAAAGTTTTTAGATTTATCATAAACTTATAGAGGTAGTCTTTTTCAGTTTCAGGTGATTGCATTTTGAAAATTCTATGAAAATTCAGATTCGATTATTTTTTCTCTCCCATATCCTTCCCTCCCCCCCCCCCCCAGAAAAGATTCAAAAAACTCTGGACATTTCTAAGTAAATGGTTTTCCGAGTATTCCACTTTACTATTACTCGTAGTTTCCTGATCACTTTCTCGATTTTTCTCTCTAATTTTCCAAAAATATATTTGATCTTCTTTTCTGAAATTTTATTTCCAGTCGCTCAGCTTGTTATTTTTCAGGTGCTTTCCTTGTTAGACATCTTGCAACCAACAAACCCACATTTCTTTCAAGAGCTGTAAGTTTTCCTTTTCGAATTTTTCTCCATGTCTTTTTCTTTTCTTTGGTCTCTCCGCTCTCGGCATGCTCTTGGCTAGGATTACTGCGCACATTACTTGACCGCATGTCAATTGGATGCATATTGATCGCCAGGGCTGATGGATGATAGTGGTCGGGCGGGTGCCACCTGTCACCTCAAATAGTTGAGGTCGCAAGTCCGAGGTCATCACCTTGCCCAACTACGGTTGAAGTTCAAATATCTGGTGCGAGCGTGTCGGCACGTTATTAGCCGATTTTTCAAATTTCACTAAAGCCGTTCGGGATGCGCGGGCGGCGCTCGTAGAGAGCGAGAGAATTGACCCGAATTTCACTTTTATATAATGTAGGTGTCGCGGGCAGATTGTGGAACGGGGAGAATGGGTATTGAGAGCGAATTCGAGGTCAGGGACGGACGTGAAGCGAAGGGAGCGAATTCGTAATTTTCACTTTGATTTGTACAAGTTTTGGGGAAATTTGTAAAATCCCATTGTTTCCCAACTGAACTTTCCCGCGCCATCTGTCTACCAGATCTACCACACCTCATTACCTTAACCAAAATAGCGCTAATTCAGCTAATTACCGTGTTTTTCTCGACTTGACACCCGCATTTATGGCTAGAAGACACGTATGGGCTGCGAGTATGCTGGTTGAATGGTGTCCTTAGTGCCTGGTACGCAATTGACCCGCCATACCCCCCCCCCCCCCTCCTCGCTACCCGAACACCACCATCCTAACAAATAACAATGCCGGAGCTCTGGCTGTCTCCACCTCGGTCACATTATTAAGAAGCGATGAGGGATTGTCGGGGAGTTGTGACAAATAGACGGGAAGTTTATCATGAGGACGATAGATGGAGGGGGAAGGGAGAGGAATGGTAAGGTGATGGAAAAGGGGTACGGTATGGAGGTAAAGTCTCGCATTTCACTGTCCAGAATCAGCTGAATATTGATGAGATACTCTGCGAGGTGCTGCGTACTTGGAAATTATCTCCATCTTTACCCCATCGGCCTCTTCTCCCGCCTCTTTGAATTGTCTTCCAATTTTCCAAAATAGCTTTTGGTCTCCCGCCATTATTTCCGGCTAAGCCGCTGCAGCCTTGTCTAAAAACGCTTCCAACAAAGCAGCGCCGGTCATTTCCTCCTTATCTCCCCCCCCCCCTTCCTTGCTTGCTCCAAATCTTTGACCCCTCGCCGAACAGCTGATTACACCCGTTGGTACTTGGTACGAGGCAGATTTCCGCTGTCGAAAGCATCTATCCTGTGGTGGATCCGAAAGCACGAATTTGTCATCAGCACAAAATTGATGGTGCCATTAAGGGTCGTAAAGCTTTTCGACGATAAAACAGGGTTTAATTGCGCCGGGGTGAAAAAAATTGAGGTTTGGCGCATTTGAGGGTTTCGAAAGAGAAGCTGGAGAAGTTTTGAATTTCTTTCTGAATTTCCGAATTTTTTAGGTACGTTCTAACGGAGCTTATGCAAAGTGATCTACACAAAATTATTGTGTCACCACAACCGCTAACCATTGATCATGTAAAAGTATTTGTCTATCAGATCTTGAGAGGTTTGTGAATTCTTCAATTTATAAGCAAAGATGAACATCTTCCCTATGACGTCAGACTTGGAATTCCGCCAATTTTTAGGGTTAAAATACTTGCACTCGGCCAACATCCTGCACAGAGACATCAAACCCGGCAATTTACTGGTGAACAGTAATTGTATTCTAAAAATTTGTGATTTTGGCCTGGCCAGAATTTGGGATTCACGGGAACGACAAAACATGACGCATGAGGTTGTCACACAGTATTATCGCGCTCCAGAGTTGTTGATGGGAGCTCGAAGGTAAATTTTGGATTGTTTCGATCACTACGTATTTTTCCAACATTATGTGATTTTAGGTATACCGGTGCTGTAGATATCTGGTCAGTTGGATGCATTTTTGCTGAGCTTCTTGCTAGGCGGATACTGTTTCAAGCTCAGGGACCAATTGATCAGGTAGGCGGAGTTTGTGCCGTATTTTTTTGTCTACTTCCCAAGATCGCAAGCTAACAGCATATCGGTAAATATCGCAGAGGATATTGCACTTACAACAATGGAAACTTTCTACCTGCCTGACTTTCTCGGTTTAGAGTTGCCTGCAGATCATTGCCGTGCCAGCGTCGTGCCAACGTCGTGCCAAGACCGCATGCATGCTATCTTGTACGATCGACGTTTCGGCACGGCGTAAGCTTGGCGATTGAGCGGACAATTCTCTAAGCATTGTGGAGGGGGGGGGAGGGATGGAGGAGGGGGTTTACTCGAAGAAAGAGACTGGAATACATGGATAGTGGAAAAAGCCTTGGTTTTTATTTTTAAGATTTTCTTACTCTCGCATAAAAACGAGCTTTTTACTCATAAGAATTCCCCTCTAAACAGTCAACTGGATATCCAGAGAATTTTATAAATATTTTGTTTCTTTGCAAGTAAGAACAATTGCTGGCGCTTTTCTGTATAAGACTATAATCACGATTACTTGCTGGTTACACCTTCTACACTTGATTTCACCGTATCTTTTTTCAGCTGGATCTGATCATTGATCTGCTCGGTACACCAACCCCTGAAGAGATGAAATACGCTTGTGAAGGAGCTCGAAATCATGTGCTCCGTGCACCATTCCGTGTGAACACATTCCATCGTATGCGACAACTCAGTCAACATACCACAGATGATGCCGTGCAATTGTTGGCCATGATGTTGCAGTTTGACCCGGTTAGTTTTTTAAATCGTGGTCCCCACTGGTTCTACTTCTTTGCGCATCGGGCAAAATGTTCGAAATTGATTTTTAGGATAAGAGAGCCACCGTCGATCAGGCGTTGAAACACAGCTATTTGGACGAAGGACGAATGCGTTTCCATTCATGTATGTGCTCGTGTTGCTATACGAATACAGCTGTACCCGGTAATACGCGAATCTTCAGCACTGATCCCGATCCGATGGTAGGTTTTTATTCTTAATTTTTTCACATTTTCCTCCTCGCACTCAATCGTGACATTAAATTGCCCCATTTCTAGCACGAGATGCCATTCGATCCCAAATGGGAAAAGGAACTCTCCCGGTTGTCGATGTTTGATCTACGTGATCGAATGTATAAGTTTGTCACGGAACGTACACCATTGTTCGGTACACCCCTGTGCATTAATCCGAGTTCTGCCGCTTACAAAAATTTCGCCAGGTTTGTCTTCACCCTAGATTCAAATAAGTCGAATTGGAGAAGTTGTGCAAAAAATCACTATCAAAAGTACGTTACTATAGCATTACGGTAGGTATACGGTGACTGATCAAAAACAATAGCGTGCCCACAGAAATTCAAATTTTTTAAAAAGTTTTTTTTAACTGATTTTCTCGAAGAACTGAAGAACAAAATCCATGCATCGTATTACTTGTTTACGGCATGGTTACTGTAGTCTTGCTGTAAATGGCAACTACCAAGAACATCTTTTGTTTATCGTTTTAGCAGTGCTCACATTGCTGCATTTTACTATAATGCTACTACCATGTGGTAACGACAGTATACTTACCGTAATCCGTGGGATCATTTAAATTAACGAACACTGCACAGTTCCTCCTCTTTAGATTATTTTGTAGGTGGAATTATGGAAGTTCGAATTTTTTATGAATTATTTTTTTAGTTCATCCGTGGCTCAAGCGTCCGAGTTACCACCGTCACCGAATGCGTGGGATTGACCAACGCGCACGGCGCGTCACGCGTCGCTCGGCGGCTAGCCGTGGCGCGCCCGAGCTCCACACCTCTTCAAAGCACTGTCGTTCACCTATCAAATTCCTCATATCTGACTTCCTCATTCACATCCTGCCTGCCCATATGTTCGTCTCATTTATCACTCACTATGTGTGCATACGTGTGTGTGCGTGTCTGTGCCCGCGTCGTCGCCGCGCCGCGCACGCGCACTAGCGATCCGATTCGGTTTTTCTAGGCACCAGTGCTGCGCATCCTGAAATCCCTGAACACTTTCATCAATCAGTTGTTTTTTATATCGACAATTTCGCTATTATTTCGTTTTGTTATATTTTTTCATATATCGTCTCTCACCACGTGACTCTTTCATTCTTATCGATTAATCGATTTCTCTTCATATTATTGATTGTATTATTCTAGGGAACATCTCTATTTTGAGTGCGTTTGTGTGTGTTCCATTGTATAGTCAAATTCTGCAACAAATGTGATGATCCATTGCCGTATTGTGTGTCTGATCAACCCGCCGTTCGCGCGCGCCACACCCCTTTCAAAGCAAAGAAACGCCTACCCGCCCCCACTTCTTGAAATGCTCCCAAATCTTCGCAAGAAATGCGTCAGTGCTTTCCGATTGTACTTCCAACGCGCCTATCAGTGTGTGTGTACCCTTATTTTGTATTCCCACTCTCTCTCAACTCTCACCCACCATCTCCATTTTGGTAGCCAATGTCTTTCAGGGGCGCCCTGTGGTGCGTCCCCCCTCCCGTCTAGAGCCGCGCGCGCCCCACCCAGCTTGTAGTCGCCCCTCCCCAACCGCCGCCCGCCCGCTTGTCATTCAGTGTCTCTTTTCTCCGTTTTCGAAGTGTGGTGTGTGTATGATTTGATTTTTCGAGGCTTTTTCAGCCGCCGCCCTTCTCTTTCGCTCTTTAACACGTGATGTAATTTTGTGAGTCTCTCGCAGCTCAACCAGCCCCCACCTGACATACTTTCATGCACTTTGTAATTCTCAACTTGCGGCTTTCGGAATTGGCCCCATTCTCACTAACAATCATGTACATAGTTCTCTCAAACTCATATATTTGTTTGTTGTAACCCTATATACCCGACTATACGTCTAGTTTGGCCTAAATCCTTGGAAAGTGCCAGACTTGGCGAAATCCCCGTCCTCCTTCCCGTCTCTTATCTAGTGGGCCTCATAATCGTGAAAACGCAGCTCACCATAGCCAATCCAAGCTTCCCAAAGGCCAAATACGTCCTTCATAAGTGATTTTTTGGGTATGTATGTTTTTCTTCGGAGATGTATTTTATCATCATTTCCTGACCATGCGTAGCAATGTCTAGTATTTGCGTGTAGATGTCACGCCCGCTCCTCCCCCCTCCCACCCAAATCCCAAAAAATTTTCACTACTAATCAATATTACCGTATATGTGTGCATTTCCCCTTTTCACTCGCTCTATGATCGTTGTTTCACATATATTTTTCGCTAACCCCTCATGAATGTAGTCAGGGCATCGATCGATAATCGATCGATTGTGGTGATTGTGTGCGCGTATCGATCGTTGTCCTAGCGATCGTCTAGTTGTCAATGTGCTTGACTATCCTTTTCAATTCGGTTAGTTATAGTTTATTTATATACGAATCGATTGATATCGATTGATCGATTCGCGTTTCACGGCATTACATGTGCGCCGCCACTATTCTTCTCTCTCTCTCCTCATCAATCCTCACATCACACCTCGCGCCTCGGTTGGGCGGAGCTTGTCATAATATTGTTGTATAAGTTGCCCATTTTTTCTAGTAATAAATCTTATGAAATATTGTGTTGTTGTAACAGTTCATCCTCCTCGGAAAAAGAAGGGAGAAATAAAAAGTAGAAGATAAGTTTGCGACTGAAAATAGGTACTCGCTGCTCAGCGTGTTCTTTTTGCAAGGTGGTTTTTTTTCCATTGAGTTATCGCTCAACTAAGAAAAACTATCAGAGTGCAATGCAATTAGAAAAAACTCAAAAAATTTGAGAAAAAAGTGGACAAGTGGAGATTCCTGCATGTTTCACAGTTCTGAAGATTTGAATCACTGTAACAGATATCATTGGGATGTGAAGGAACTGTGGCGTTAAAATGAGCCTGAGGATTAGTTTGATCGTCGAAGAAAGATTTCCAGATTCTAATGATGTCTTCAGGTTTCCTTTGCCGCAGTGGCGGACCGAGAGTGGAGGAGGGGTGGAGGGGGGAGGGGGCGAAATTTCCAAGTTACTTGCGTGGTTTTCAAAATGTGCAGTTGACTTATTTATACTTGCAAATAAAGAAAATAATTCTTTAAATTTTCAAAGAATTCAAATTAACTTTGAAAAAAGTTTTCGGGGTTAGGGAGGTTATGCGCCTGGAAAAATTCCGAGAAGCATCTCAAAAAAACTTCATTTGGAAAAATTTTTCCTCCCCCCCCCCCCCCACCACTCCAGACGGAAGTCCTGGGACCACCACTGCTTGCGGCATTTGCTTATCATAACTTTTTCGTTCCAACATTTCGGCAATTATGCGGATAAACTTCTTACAAACTTTGTATATCTTGAAAATCTTCCATGGTCTTGGAATACTTTTCTTGCTCAAGTTCGTTGAAAAAATTTTTTACTCACCATTTGAGGTCCAGTGGTCGGACCGTCATTTTCAGACGCTAGGAAATTGTTTGAAGTTGTTATGGCCCTTTCCCACTATTTACATCAAAAGTGATGACGAAAACTGGTTGGTTGATATCAGAGGTCCATTGTCAAAGAAAATATGCCGAAAGACCGCTCCGAGTAACGCATTTACAGTTGAGCCAATCTCAGCTACATTTTAATAATTTCTCATTCCCTTCTCCACTTTTGCAAATAGGTGCAGTAAAGTATAAACAAACTTTCTTGAGCATTCCCTTGCACTGGAACGGATTCACCTTGTTAATAACTGACATGGGATCACGGGTGTGCAAACCTAGAATCAGTCACACATAGAGTGTAGTAACTAGCTGCAAATTTAGGCGTATGAATTAAAAGGCACCCGCAGTTTGGATGTGGCCTATAGATTGTAAAATGGGGGGAGGGGGGGGGGGGGGGGTGAGGGAGATAACCGTCATTATTTGCCAGTCAAAATTGTTTTTTTGAAGTTCTAGTCATTGGTTTGCATGATTCCATACACATTTTTCTTCACTAGACTTTTTCGAGTTGGAGGAGTATTACCTACCTAGCGTACCGTGGACTGAGTATACCGATAAATCCTGAGAGCCCGATATCTAATTTACGCTAATTATCACTTCATATAGATCTCTAGAAAGGGCAGCATGTTTCATTCTATTCTCCGGTGACCAAAGAAGCATGTGCATACCAGCAAAGCTGAAGGCAACTCGTCTCGATGCCGACAATCTTGCCAATGTTCGGGCCAACGAAGCGTCGCTGACACAACTGGAGCTCAGTTCGTCATCACGTTCCCAACGTACATGATATTTGAAGTGTTATTTGTGACTTTATCGATGTATCCGAGAGAACAAACAATGAACTTACTCTTTATCTTTGTGTTGCAAGCACACAAAAGAGAAAAAAATTGAAATTTTACTAAAATAATGGGACTTTGCTAACGTCCAAATTCAAACAAAGAAATTCTTGGAAATAGGTCAAAAGAACAGCTTGTTAGGCCTTGGACAGATCTAGGCTTGTGGAAAGTAAGATATTGCTCTGGCTTTAAATTTTTATAGTTCTGAACAATTCTTTCTTTCTTGCATTCTGACAACTTTGCAAAACTGCAAAATCCACATTTACAAATTTTGTTTTTGTTGTTGCGAAGAATCGCAGTGCTCGAAAAAGCAAGCGCTTTTTCTAAACCAGATTCACTATTTCCTGCATAAACCCAGTAATGAGTAAAAAGATAAAATTGTATTCAAATGGAGAAGATTGCTTAATTCTGATTAAAGGGCCGGGCATACTTCATGCAATCAGTCTTCGACGCGATTTGGCGATCCGGCAGAAGTCTTCAGATCCAACACTAGCAAACTACATGCATAATGTGTACAACTTACGTGGATTGATAAAATGCTCTATTTTCTGCACATTCAAAATGTCTTACAGTGGGTTGTGGACAGTTGGAATATGTCAAATCGCGTCGCGACTGAAATCGCGTGAAGTATGCCCGGCCTTTAAGAAATCATGTCTGCACTCAAATATCGCACTGAACCAGGATAATCTGAATTAATTGCTTTTGACCATTCGAGAGCAAAGCTGCCTTGCAATCAAGTGACTAACAAAGTGCAACTTTTTTTGAAAATTTTTTGCTCGGATCCAGTTGCAAGTGATGCTTTCGCATAATATGAAGAGGAACAACAAAAAAGAAAAGAAAAGGAACGAGAATGAAAGCCTCAGCGCTCTTTGTTGAGTTCAACTGATATTGTATGGTTTTTATTCGCGTGATTCAAGATTAGACAAAAATCGAAAAGTCAAAGCTTTTACTGCCAAAACTAGGAAATAAAAAATCACCTGTCTAATTCATATGAGATAATTCTCCATCAAACATTTGTTCTGGGTATCACATCATAAGCGATAGACGAGCTGTGTTTCACTTTTAATAAATTAATGCTTATGCTGTTAATAATCTATAACACTCTCTAGGTTTCTTTCAAAGAGCACAATGCTTTCCTTGACAGCCATTTAATGGTTGCGAAGAAGTTTTAGTATCTAATTGAAAAGTCACAAGCAAATCTACGATGTCATGAAAGATGCAAATTATGAAAAATGTGTTGAATTTTTATTCAAAAAATTATTTTATCTTGATTTTTAAGAGATTATAAGGTTAGTGTTGAGTAATCGGGAATATTTAAAGCTTATTGCGAAATACTGCGAAATTTCTATGGTGGAGAACTTAAGAGATGAGCGAACCATATCAGGATGAGACTACGAAAAACTTGAACGAATCGAGTATGGTAAACAATGATTTCATCCACTTATGAGCTGTATATACCATCGAAAACCACGATAGAAGAGCGCCAAGCACAAGTTCGATGCCGCAAATGCGAATGCAAAAAGTTTGCTCCGTGGGAGGATCGAACTCCCGACCTCGGCATTTCTCATTCTTATAAGTACCACGCGCTAACCAACTGCGCCAACGGAGCACGTCAGTCGATTGCTAAAGGTGCCTGTCGACACTGATGCAGAGATAACTCAGGAAAGTAATGTTCAATTCGAAAGAATCAACAAGGGGATACTCTCGCTTGCTTTTTCATCTGGTAACATAATAAGTCTATTAGGGGGAAGAATTGGGTAGCGTTCGTGCCTGCGGCAGAAGATCTTCTCATAAGGCAAAAGCCCCATTCTTTGCAAAACTCTAGCACCATGAATAATGTATTTTGACTTCGTTTTTATCCATTTTTAAGAAATGAGATTCAAAGATTCTACAAAGATTTTAACAAAAAAATCGTGCCAATATGATAGAACAATCAAAATACAAAGAATTAAGGATGTAATTGAGTACTAATCTAATGATGGATAATCCGACTTTTGTGGCCAACCACGACAGAGATAGAAGATGGGGGGGGGGGGCTAGAAACACAAACTGCATAACTACACAAAAATTAGCTACAAATTTTATTCTACTTTTAATACTTCAAATTTTTGAGATGTCAGATATAGATATAGGCATCAGTGTTTTACGAATTCTTGCGCGTATTTTTCTTCTTTTTTCAATAACTTTTCCAAATAGTGTGCTTGTGCTCCTGCAGTTCTGGATTTCTAGTCTTTATTTTATCAGGCTGGTCCATATGTCTTGCATTGATTTTATGAAAAAAAGCAATTTATCAAGTGCTTTGCAAAGGAAATCATGCGCTTTTTAAATGTGCCTCAAAAAGAACATAAAGCACCGAAATACAAACTGATAGGGTAGAAACAGTCACGCTTTTTTCAAGGTATCGAAAAATGCTAAAGTACAATAAAGTTTGACTTGATTTTTGATCGTGGTTTCCAAATATCTTCTTGTATGATTAATCTTTCAAAAAAAACTATACATTTTGCTGATTGGATATATCATCTAGCAAAAAGACTGTACGACCAAGTATATATGGTTAGTAAATCAATTCCGTGCTTTACTGAATCAGATGCATAGTAAAATAGGACATTGTTATTCAACAAAATTATATAACTGTAAAAACTTTCTCGAACATTTCAGTCTTGTTATCCTTCACTGTACTTGTCTCTGTTTTTTAGAATCATTGCAAATGAGCGTGTTGAGGAAAAATAGGAAGGAAAGAGGGGAAAGATAAGTTACATAGGGTAAAGACTGCAAACCTACAATGCACTATTTTAAGCAGTCACCAAATAAACTTTCAATGATTTGCACACATGTTGCTCACGTGCAGATATGCACACACAGAGTGCTTTTTTTCGCATTTCTATTTTTGCAGATTCTTGTGTGCAAAACACAAAGTTGAAAAAGCTTATGTGCGCCCTGTCCTGCTGAAGGCATTGTTGAAAAGAAATTCAGGAATTTGTCATTGACATGGACCTTTGTATTGCCCGGGAGATCCTGCGAATCTAACAAACTGGAGCCCTATTCAAACACCATATTCGGGGAAGCAACTTTGAAAATGGCTCCAAAAAAATGTGATTTGATTAGAATATTTTTGGAAACTGTTTTGTAGAATTTGGCATGTACATGTAATATTAGGCTGTCCCATAAGCTTTTTCATATTCAGACATTCAAATTTAATTTTTCTCCATAACTAAAGCAAACGAGAATGCAAATTTGCAATAGTATACCTGAGTAATAAGCTACTATAATATAATCATATAGAGGAACACAGA